TACCAGTTCCGGGCATGGGGCTTCCTGCGGACTGTCCGGCCGCCGGGGGCAGGAGGCACAGTTGCGGGCAAAGGGAGGGGCGGAACAGACTGCAATCTCCCCTCCCTGCTTTGAGTAGATGAGGGGCTGCCCCGAATGAGGGGAACAGCAAACCCAGCATCGCTGGCGGATCCGCCTTTCCCCAAGGTGGCGACCAAACGCCTGCACATAGACTCAATTCTTGAAGCCTAGAGTGTGCCTGAAGTATCCGGAAAAGGGCACTAGCGCCACACAGCGTGCTCCCTGGCTCGGTCGTGGTCGCGGGACCGCTACCTCCTGCTCCTCGCAACTGCTTGTCTCTGGGTCAGTGTCGCATGGCCACTCCACCTGGGCGTCCAGAGGCCCCTTGGGTCGTCAGTGTAACCGGAAAGGTCCATCAGGTAACACAGGCTTGCGGGCGCCGGTGCGGTGTGGGCCATGGGGACTATGCAGGGCGGGGCAGGTGGGATGGCCAGGCGACCTCCATCTTGGGGGCGAAGGCTGTGCAGAATCTGAGGCCGTAGAGGCCGGGGCGCAGGCACTGCGGGGGGCAGAGCTGCTCCTGGACAGGGCCCGTGTCGCGCAGGTGGCGGTAGCGGCGGCTGGGGGCAAAATGTGGGCGGCGGAGGAGGCGGAGTCCCAGGTAGAAGCCGCGGAGAAGCCTGAGGAGCAGCAGCAAGCTGACCCAGGGCCAGCTGGGACCGCAGTCCCGCCCGCACTGGAGGCGCTGCAGGCCCTTCAGTTCCAGCTGAGCGCTGAGAGTGCCCGAGCCAGCAGAGCCTACATTCAGGTGAAGCGCAGGACCGCTCAGCGTAGAAAGCCCATTCTCGAGCGCAGAAGGGCCATCATCCAGTGCATCCCCAACTTCTGGGCCAAAGCTGTATCCTTGCCCATGCCCTTCTGGCCTGACTGCTGACAAGGACGATAGGCAGTAAGTGGAGGAGGGGCCTGGGCAGGACAAAGGGAAGAGGGCAGAGGAAAGGGCCTACCATCGCCAGAGACGCAGGCCTGGGCAAATGTGAGGGCCCAGGACAGTCAGTAGGTGTCAGGACAGAAAGTATGGGAACAATGTACCATTCCTACAAATCAGAGATTGAAACGGCTCATTTTGGGGGCAATATACAGATCCAAGGAGCTAGGTTTCTGTGGTGTTGATTTTGTGTTCTGAAGAGCTCAGTGTAAAAACACAGTTGGTCTATAAGCAGATTTAAGCTGCATGATTTCCAGCGTGTTCTCTCAGACATGTCAGATGCCCATATGAATTTGTGGCAGGCAACAAACTGGGCTTCCACCCTCCTTCTTAGGAACAAACACACTTACTCACAAACACACACAAGCACACACACAGACACACACACAGAAACACACACCTACCCTCTTTTATTGCAACTTGTGTAGTTGGTGGATTTTGTACACAGAATGCAACCTCTCTGAAACCCAGGGATCTCTAGAAGGTGTGTGCTGACACTGTTTTTGGAGAACACACGTTCCTTCCTCAGGGGTCCCAAGGAACAAGAGGAAAGTACAAGCGGTCACTCTAAAGCAGTGAGTTGTCTGCACGAGCACACAGAGGACTGGGAGGGCTCAGAAAAGATCAGGACAGGGGTCCTCCTGTTGTTAGGGCAGGCAGCCTCAGGAGATCATAAGCCCAAAGGTTCCATTCTCTTGAACATGTGTGAGGAAAGGTGGTTAGATTTTGAGGAAGGTGGTACAGAGACAATGTGTGCAGTCCAACAGAGGGGCTACTGCTGTCTCTTCTTTGGCCCCACATTGGCCGTGTAGCTTTTAGCTTTCCTTCCCAAAGCCTCTGAAAGCTCCTTGACTGAAAAGCAGATAGGAAATCATCCCCAGATTTCAGCCATCATCAGTGAACAAGATGAAGACATGCTGAACTACTTGATCAAATTGGAGGTCAGACTGGGGAGAAAGAAGTGCGGGCCAGAGTGGGCGCTGGGGCACCTGGTGGGAAGGGTCACTGGTGGGAAGGGTCGGAGCAGAAAAAGGAAGGAGAGGGGGAGTGGGTGATTCCTATAAGCAGGCTCAGTTTGGAAGAGTTAGACAGAGAGAGCTACCTCCAGAAGAGGGACACAAGGCACTTAACTCCTCCTCTTGGCAGGTAAAGGAACTGGGCCATCCTAAATACCTCTGCAAATTGATGTTTTTCTTTCGGAGCAACCCGTACTTCCTGAACGAAGTAATCATGAAGCAATATCATGTCGGCCTTGCAGGTGAGAGGTGGTTCCCAGGATGGGCATTTGGAAGAGCGGGCAAGTGGTGGCTGGGTGTGGGTACTGGGCTAATGACAATCCACCCTGCTAACTTTCGTCCTCCAGGATACAGGGCCTCTAGTTCCACTCCAGTCCACTGGTTCTGGGATTATGAACGTGGAGCCCCCAGCCGCAGGCAGGACACAACAAGCATTAATTTCTTCAACTGGCTGGCTGAACACAACCTGCCAGGGTCAGGAAAGATTGCTGAGGTGATATTCTGCTCTGGCCCTAGTCAGAAATGACAGTGGTGGAGGCCCCAGGTGCCTGGAAAGCAGACTGTGCCAGTCCTCCCCTGCCCCATTTTCTGCCCCAGATCATCATCGAGGACCTATGGCCCAATCCCGTGCAGCACTATCCAAGGCATGCTCGCACCAGAGGAGGGAGCTGGGAGGAAGACTTGTTGGTGAGGCCCACTTGCTAGGCCTTGAAAGGTGAGCTCTTTTCCTGGAGCATGTCCTTTCAAAAGCAAATGTGGAAACTGAGGCTCAAGTAAGTTGGAAGGTACATAAGACTGGCAAAAGACAACTGGGAGGCCTTAGTGCCTATGGAATACAGGCAGGCCAGAGAGCTCTAAGCACCTAAGTTTTCATGGTGAGTTGCCCAGGACACTTGGCAGCAAACATGGTTCTTCAACCCTATTGGTTCTTGAATCCTATGGTTATTCAATGCCATTTTTGCAATCCTATTCTTTTGTGCCTTTCCCACTTCCACAGGCCTGTTGCTACTCTGGGCAAAATCAAACCTTTTATGCACAATCCTTTTCAGTGCCTTTAATTCAAGTTTCTTTCAATGTTTACAAGCATCCCTCAGCATTTTCCTGGGTCAGAAAAGTAAACAAGTCCACCAAGTAAACAAGGTGTACTGACTGTGGACAGTATGGGTCAGAGTTTTCCCAACACACCTTCCGGTGCATGCCAATATCTATAAGTGTGGGTGTGCATATTTTTTTGTGAATGAGGGCTAGGGAACACTTCATATTCAGAGGGGGACAGTGCAGAACCTCAAGCATGGCCTGGTAGGACAGGGCCTAAGCAGAGTGTGCCCCTGCAGGAGCAAACACTGACGTATTCTGCCTGATCCTTGTGCATAGGAGGAAAAGATCACCCCTGGAAGATTCAGAGAGATACACCAGGTATTTTCAGTGTCATGGAAAGAGCCATAAAGAAGCTTCCAAAGTGTTTCTGTCTCTGTATTTTTTTTTTTTGTGGCAATGAAATATAGTAGTATTGAACAGACGACCTGACAAGGGGCTGCTGAATGAGCCTCTGCTAGAATTCTGCCTGCATGGCAAGAAAGCCTTAAGGTTTGGTTCTTCTCTTTCAGGGTGTTTTCTGGGAGGAGGAGGCAAGAGCTGATAGCCTTCTGACTTTACAAGTGTGGTATTTTTTCAGGAGACGGAGACTGTACAGTCAGGAGAACAGGGCCCTCACCTTAGCTCCTGACTAACAGGTTCCCATTTCATTTGGCTTAGGTAGTTATTCCCATTCCCATTTTCTGAGACATCTAAGATTGACATGTCAGGAGAGAGGTAACATTCTCAGGCTTGGCATGATTGCTAAACCGGAATCTGTGGGCAGTGTCATGTGAATGTGAAAACTTTATAGGCAGTGCCACCATCCCTCCGTTGGGAAGCCTTGCAAGGCAGCGTGTGTCAGAGGTATGCTGTTACACAGCAGGGAAGGTGCTAAAGCCTGGATGTGTGTAGGCAGGGACAAAGTGTAGCACCTGGCATGACTCGGTCCTAGAAAGGGGACAAACTCAAACCCATGTCAATGGACTGATGCCTGTACATAGGAACTGCATATGCCCAATGAGGATATTGAAGAGTAGAGGAAACCCCAACACAACTAATTTGTTTATTGTCAAGCTGTGGTGAAACCTATTACCCCAAAGAGGCCTTCACAATAGCCAAATGCCTATCATTAATGTTGGAGAAACTAACAGGACTTCCTCCATACCAGTTTCCACACTCTGGGTATGCTGGTGCAAAAACAGCACAGATATTTGGGGAGGGTTTTGGTGTGTGAGGATTATGCAAAGAATATGACATAGCTTACTGCTGCCTGTGGATGGCTGGGAGGTATGTAATGGGTGGGCTGGCAGGCACTGGCTCCTGAAGTGTGGAGCACACCTTGATCCAGATTCAATAGAATGAAAAAATGTTCTTCCATGGCAGAGAGCAGGCAGCATCCGGAAAAGAGCACTCATGTCCTGGGCGCAATACCATTCCCCTCACTGGTAGCAGCGAATGCCTGCAAAATGTATCAGCCTCTGACTGGGACCTGTGGGAAAACATACTGCCCTGGGGCTTCAAAGTATTTACCCAAGGCACAGGGAGCCTTTCTCACTGCTACTCTCAAAACAGCCACAGATTCTGAGACTTGTGCACTTTCACAGAGCTTTAGAGGAGCTCTGTGAACCATTTGGAAGGCACTGTTGGAAGAGGGTGCACAACAAAGACCCTGATTTTATTGGTCATCTGAATGGGTGTCTGTTGTCGACAGGGAAGGTCTTTTATTTAATAACAACGAACTCTTGAAAATCAGTATCTCTTTGATTCAACTTTGTCTTGCTATATCTCACATAAACCCAAGGCCCTGAGGGGGTAAGAGTTGGAGAGAAGGACGGACAGTGAGGAGGAGACATGGGAAACAGATAAAGGGAGAATGATCTATGGACAGACAGAATGAGCCCCTTTCCTGGCCTTTGTTTTCCTGAACATGCAACTGTGCAATAATGTACACTACAGTCCCCTACAGCCACAGGCTTCCCATTGCCTCTAGCTTGGATCCCAGATACCATAATGTTGAGACAGGCCCTACTGCCCATAGCCTATGACACTGGTTTTTATTACTATTTCTTACCCCTTAGCCGAGGATATGATTATCAATTTGACAGAGAGAAGATATGTACATATATATGTATATATGTATTTAGGTATGTATATAAACATATATATATATATATATATATATATATATATATATATATATA